CATGTATTGAAAACTCCTTGACTTGATTGGTAGATAAAGCTGGAAAATAACAGTGCATCCTTTTAAATTTAAGTCTTAAGTCTCTGCCTATCAGTAAGTAAGTAATGCATTTCTCTAGTAAGTAAGTATTAAATCTCGATTAGAAATGCATTTCTCTCTAGGTTTTTACCAACTGCATGACTTTTACTTTCTCTAACAACTAAACAAAAAACACGGCCAATGCACGAGGTTCGTGCCACTGCAGGATCCGAGAAGGCTTACACCCCACATGGTGAGAGGTTTTTCCGCGAGTCAAACCATTGACGCGTAGGTTACAGTGGAGCCACCTTATCCCAGTGCCAACAATTAAATGATGGACAAAGACTGTAACAATAAAATGTGGAATTAAATTGCAACACCATTATGTAACCACGAATTATAGTTGCCACCTCATACATTGAACAAAGTTATTTGCAACCATCAAGCCATTTAGAGGAGCTAAGATGTTCTTCCATAGCCAAGTCTAGCTTTTTTCTCAGTTCAAGCAAGCTAAATTTGAGCACCTCAATCCTTGACTCAACATGGCATATTTGCAATCCTAACCAAGGCATACCAAAGAGCATATTATTGTGTTTAAATCAATCCAAAACTAATGATAATACTCTCTAAAGGAGAAACACTAGAACGATGCACATTGTGCTATTATCTCTTGATAGACAACCCATTTTTATCCAATATTCAGTATTAAGACGACCACAGCATCAGCTCAGCATGAAAATGTCACCAACGATGAGATAAAATGAGATTTGCTATAATTGGGTGCTTAGCAACTTTAATTTGCCGCCTAGGAAAGGATTGTTATGATGCTTTACACTTAATATGACACCCACTTTGGATGCAAGAAGTAACATCCAGTCTGATGTTATTGTACTCGCACCGACAGTTAATAGTAATTTTTAATCATGGTTCAAAGTCACGGTATCGGTCATCAACTCGGAGGGCACTGATACACATCGGTCGCGGCGTCGCGGTGCAGTATCGGCTGATACGCTCAAAAAGCTAGATAGAAGTTCTAAAAAAATCATAAAAAATTTTAAAAATATAAACATCATCATTCATGTATCATATGCCCACAATAAATCCAAAAACACATTCAACATAATTAAAATGAAACATAAGGGTCTAAGTAATATATGTTTATAAATTTTAGGAGTCTGAATGTAATTTATTAACAGATATATTTATATTGCGTATAATTTTAGGGGTTTGTGTGTAATATTTTAAATATTAGGGATCTAAGTGATTAAGTGACAAACTTTAAAGGATATAAACATAATTATCCCAAATACAATTGAGTCACTGGAAACCAGAGTCTTTAAAAGCCTCTGTTTGAACTTCGGTCTTTCAGAGACGCTGTGTATCGATCGATCGATCGATCTCGAGTGAGAGAAGAATCTGAAAGTGGATTTGAAGAATCCACCGGTGATCACCGGAAGACGGCTAGGGCTGGAGCTGTTGTCTCTGTTACTACGAAGAAGTCATCGTTCGATCGTCATCTGCTACTCGAGTAGTCATCGTTCGATCGTCATCTACTACTGCGAAGTAGATGGAATAGTCTCTGCTAGCCGGGTCCTCTGTCATCGTTCGATTGTCTCTGCTACCTGGGTCCTCTGCAAAGTCAATCAATGATGCTGGTCCTCTTCTACTGCGAAGAAAAAGGAACAAATAGTAGGAAAGTCTCTCAGATTAAGGAGATTTACTACAATTTTTCAGGTTTGTGTTCAAATTTGATCTCACTTTATTGTTCTGTTTTTATTATGGTAAAAGGGGTCTAATTTGTGATTCAATTTTTCTTCTTTTCTTGCTTTTTTTTTGGCATTTTTTCTGTTGCCTAAAAGTGGGTGGACGATTCGGTGGGTATCGTTTGATTCAGAGGTGAATCGACCGAGTTGAACCGAGTTGAATCTGAGTTTGTCCGAGTTAGACCAAGTCAGAACCGATTCATGGCAGACTCGTTATAGTCTTGAATCATGTATCGTTATCGGATCGGTGGCTGCCGAAACGGATACGACTCGGCCGATACTTTGAACCTTGTTTTCAATGCCCTTCTTTTCAGGGAAAATATGAAAAAATAAAATATTCTTTCCGAAACAATCTTATAAAGTAAAAGGAAATGGCAAAAACTTACTGCACAATGTTGGATAACATAAACCAAGGAATTACACAAATATAGGGATGAACAAAACTGAAGCATATTTCAATTGGAAAGGTGAGAACAATTTACCCTCTGAGTTGATACAGAGCGCTTATCTTTTGTACCAGCAAATCCAAATGACTTCATCTGCCAGATAAAACATGATTCAAGTTCATGGCAGTATAATGAATAGAAAAATAGCTTATACCACTAACCGCAGTTCAATCCATGAATTACATCAAATGCATAGTCGAGGCTGCTGGTATACAGACAATGATACCGAAAGAGGCTTTATGCACAAAGAGGCCTTATGCATGAAGGGGAGTTAAGAAGATCACAGCTCCACATCACTAATAATTTTCAAAGACCAAAAGCCTTTGCAATAACGACCGTTTTAATTTTTTTTTTGCAATGACTTTATGTAACCTTCTTAAACAAAAGAAAAAAGAATGGGCCAAAAAAACATAAATATAGCCAATTGAAAATTTAGAAGGAGGTCTATGTTCCATTGTCAAAGCATCAAGTGTAACAAAACCAAAACATTCATGAACAAGTAACCTATACCTGAATGCCCAGCATCTTTCCAATAAGTCCCAAGGCTTCCTGGGTGTCTTTGTTCTCCTTGTAAAGATGAAACCTGAATTCCAACAAACACCACATAAGCCTATTTACCAAATTAGATGTTGGGAATAATAACTCCTAATTTATGGTTCTTCCTACAACCAATTTATGGTTCTTCTAGAACCAGTCCCTTCATAGTATATATGAGTTGCCTCCTAGAGATAGGACACTGAAATTAAGCTGGTTTCTCCTGGTACAAGTGTCCATTTCTACAATTTTTTTGAGTAAAGTTGTTGCATAAGTTCCACCAATCCTTATTGTCATAACAAAAAGTAAGCTTTTACTAAAAACACGATCTGATACTGAGACAAGACTTGGTAGAGTTGAGTGATTGTAGATAAACAAATAAGGTATGGTAAAAATAGAAGTCAACAGGAGAAGCATACAATTCCCACCCAAAAATGTGCACAAACAAGTCATAATGAGATGTATGCTTCAATTTCAGTGACAACACGTTTATACGATTGAGTAAGTGGAATGTCATGAAGTGCTTGAATTCTCCAGAAAGGGAGAGAACAGAAGAATTGTAAATTCCAATCTGTGCTCATTTTTACTTATGATAATAGTTTTATTTTTATATTCTATTGCATTTTAAACTTAAAAGCCTTTCCCTTCCTGATAAATTTTCTCATATCAACGCACAGGACAATCCTTGTTTAATTAACATGTTAGACCAAGTAACTGGTCCCAAGTATACGGGGTTAGTACGATAAGTGGTGAAGAGATGATAAATTGTTAGGAAACCTTCTCTAAATGTAACGATATGATAACAAACACAAAATTTTAGGGACACAAAAGAACTGAAAAACATAAAAAGAGAAAAGAAAAGAGGCACCACTTGAAGTTACCTCAGGAACTTGCCCAGACGTTCTGGCCAACTGTCCGAACCTCTACTGTCATATGGCATCTCACACCTCTCTTTCCGTTTCTTTGAGTTTCTACCTCTGCCATTATTCCCTCCTGAATTTAACCTCACGCGAATGCATTTTGATGAGGGGTCTGGTCCATCTATGGTGTCAGTAACAAGAAACTTAAGTTTCTCCTTGAAAAAATTATGCATTGCCTGAAAAGCATTCATTATTAAAATTATACAACCAATAATGCAAGACTCTACATGGATACTAAATTGAATGGATCACATAAGATGAACTTCTCTATTAAGTACTAACCGTCCGATGCAACTTATCAGAACTTGGAGAAATCACAATGGGTTCAACATTGTCCTCAATGGCAGAACTAATCTGTTCTATAAAAGCTTTGAGAGAATCAGCATCTGAATCACCAGCCAAAGTTCTAAATAATTCAATTTCAGTGTCATAGCTTTTGTTAGGTTGATCAGATATCTTTGTTTCTTTTTCTTCAACAATCTGAAGGAATGTAAATATAGCAAAATTATCAGTAAACCATCTAGAACTACAGAAAACATACTGACTATAGAAGAAACTTTGAGACCTAAATACCTCAGGTGCAGCATCTAGAGACGTCAAATGAACCACGTTGCCATCCAAATCCACTTCATTTACTATAAAATCAGAATACCTAAAAATACAAAATAGAAAATTGATTATAGTAATCAAATAAAAGTTCACACCAATTTTTACAGATTTAAAAAATAAAAATTATTGGGCATTAGGCTTTATGCATTTTAAACCACATATAAAAAGGATCCACGATTAGAATGCCAAACTAAACAAAAAAAACAAAGAAAGAAAATGTATCATAGGAACATGGAACGTAATGTCAGGAATGGTAAGTGCTACTCGGTTTGGTCCCATTATCGATGTTGCGGGTAGAACATTTTACAATAAGAAATTCAAAGCTTTCTGCGGATAAGAAAGAAAACTGAGGACTAAACCTTATATACATTTTGCTTGCGTATTTATTTGTGTGCGCGCTTTAGAGAGATACCTCTGCTTAAGAATGCCTTGGAAACCAGGGAGCTGAGAGACGTAGCAGACGATTCCTACATCAGATTCTTCAATGCTTTTCATGGCTCCTGTCCTGTGTTTGTAAATTCAGGAATAGGGTTTTAGAGACAACTGATTATAGGGCTTTATTCGCTGATACGAGTGCCTGGTCACACAATTTAGTTGAGAATTAGGAAAAAAATATTGGATATAAATTAGGAGTGGGTCCCATAACCCACCAACCCGTTCAATTCACCCATTAATAAAATGGGTTGTGTATCGGGTTGGGTATTATTATTTGATTTCATTTTATGGGTTTAAATTGGGTACCCATCGGGTTTCCCTTCTTGAAAACAACCGAGAGTCTGAGGGCACTCAAATTCTCCGCCAGATTTATATCGATCTTTGTAGAAACATAGAGAAAACTCAGGAAAGAGTCGTCTGATCGAAGCTGGACTTGTATTCGCAGTGTCGAACATCACAGTCCGTTGCGATTGAAGGAGTGAGAACGAGTAAGAAACGTTGTAATGAGTTCGTTGGGTTAAGGCCTGGGATGAGTATGGCTTTGGTGTCGCAGAAAGAGTGGATAGAGAAGTAAACATCGTCGCCACCATTTCCGGTGACCGCGAGGTTGGAGACTAGGACTGTGGCTCACTGAGAGCCCCCGAGCTTTCGAGGAGAAGATAAGGCGGACAGTCGAAAAATGTGAAAAATTTCAGATAAACCCCTTGGATTTTCTGTAATATAACAATTTCTCTATGTGAAAATTGCAGATAGTCCCCCCTATGTTTTCTGTAATATAACAATTAGTTTGTGTGGAATTTCAATTGTTAATAATCCGTACAGAGTTTTAAAATTACAGTTAGTACCTCTCACATCAGGATCCGGATCCTCTAATACATTTTTGTTGAATTGCCCGAATGATGTATAGGCATTGGTGTGTTATAGTTTGAATTGACGCTACCTCTTTCCTGTTTATGGCATACTTGTTGGAGGGCAGCACTCCAATTTTAATGTCATAATATTTAGTTTTTTCGCATGTTCTGTTATCTATGTAGGAAATCACAATATAATTATCCCTTTAACTTTGTGGAAAATAAAGGAATTAGAGAGTTGCATAATTTCTTAAATCCGAAGGTTTAGTTTAGGAATTATAGTATATTTAATTTTTTTATTTTTTTAGGATGAAGAAGGCTTGTCGAAGAGGGAAGTGAAGTTTGGCATAATATTTGACAATGAGTAGCATTGTTTGCTTTTAGATTCTGCAATGTTCTTTAGACACTTGTTCTAATGTTTGGTTGAGCATGTGTTCCATTTGCTCGGCCCAACTTGTGAGAATTAAATGATAAGCGAACATGGTCCTATGGTTATGTGTACCTTTTTTGAATTATTTCTTGTTATGATGAATGATTGTTGTTAAATTATTGGTAATAGAATATGTTATGTGTATATTTTTTGAGTTATTAGAGTGTATTTTTTTTGGTGTAATAGTGTGTGTATGTGTGTCAAAATGAGGGTGTGTATATTTGATTACTTAGTATGTGTATTTTTTTATTGATTAGTGCTTATATATTTTTTGGTGTAATAGTTTATGTGTTTTTTTGGTGTAATAGTGTATTTGTGTTTATCTTGATATAATAGTGTGTATGTGTGTGTATTTTGGTGTAGTAATGTGTGTATTTTGATGTGATAGTGTGTGTGTGTATTTTGGTGTAGTAATATGTGTATTTTGATGTAGTAGTGTGTGTGTTTATTTTGGTGTAATAGTGTATGTATTTTGGTGTAGTAGTGTGTTTGTTTTTTTTAGTGTAATAGTGTGTGTGTGTTTATTTTGGTATAGTAATATATGTCTATTAAGAGTTTTAATTTTCTTCTTAGGTGTTTGGAGGACGATCCCTAGGCCCAATAGAATTTCAAAAAAAATCCACTCGCCAATTTTTTTTGAATTAGGTCCTTATTGAAAATTCAAAGCAATTAACATAACTAAAGCTCTTTTCAATTGCAAAAAAATAACGATAATGTCATCGCCTAATTTAAACACTTATTCTAAAAAATTACGTACATTTTTTCCACAAACACAAATTGAAAAGCAGGTACACTAAAAAAATAAAAAATAATAACAGGTACACAATAAAAAATTACCAAAAAAAGCCACCTAATAAAACAAAAAATAGGTACACAATAAAAAATAAAAATAAAATAATAGGTACGCAATAAAAAAAAACAAGTAAGAAATAAAAATAATAATAGGTACACAATAAAAAATAAAAAAGTAACACGTACACAGTAAAATAAATAACAAGTAGGGAATAAAAAATAATAAAAAATAACAAGTACACAATAAAAAAAACATGTACGCAATAAAAAATAAAAAGAATAACAAGTACGCAATAAAAAAAATAAAAAATAAAAAGTACACAATAAAAAAAATAAGGTACGCAATAAAAAATAATATGTACACAATAAAAAAATAACTGGTACACAAAATATACCTGAGTTGGCAAGTCTAGTTTATAAGAAACCCACAAATCAAAAGAAAGAAGAGCGCAAAGCAAAATTAAAAGAAAAACCTAGAAAAACTACTTCCCAACCTATCGCTTCTTTTCAAAATCAAACCAAACTGAGAGGAAGGATGACACAAGGTTTCTAATCGAATTGATCTTCCTTGTCATCGTCCAAGGATTTGATGAATTCCCATGAAGATAAGTCACCGACTTCAACTTCTATGGCTTCATATGCACTGAACAGATTTCCAATTTGATCCAATTCACATTCAACTCGAAAACTCATGTGATCACCGAGAAGAAATAGATTTAGTGACCGTAGAGGTTATTGCGAGCGAAAGAAATGGAGATCTGCTTGTTTTTTTGTCAAGAATGAATAGAAGAAGGGGATCGTAATGTCTTCTATTTTATCTCACTCGTATCTCTCATATTTAGGCTAAAATCATGTGATGAGGAAAAAATATGTAATAAATATACAATAGCTGCCCAACCCCACCAATCTAGGGACTGCATACAATATTTTTTAAAAAAATGGAGGACCTTTTTAATACTAAAAAATTGATAGGACTAAAATTGATTTACACACTAAAAGATGGACACTAGCCTAATTAACTAATTATTTTATGGGTTTAACACATCTCATTATAATCCATTTAATACATGAGTGAAAAATGGATTGGATTTATCTTAAACCCAATCCATAACTATCTCAAACCACCCATTTGTCACCTCTAGATGTAACCAATTAAGAAAAAATTGATGATGTAGTATCACCAACTAGTGAAGAATAACATGTGGATTTAGTAGATTCCATTGTTTTACTAATTATCAACAACTACTTTTGTCATGTTCGAATATTGGAGTTCACCAATCTTATTTATTGTTTTATAATTAATTGGTGATACCATGTGATAATGATAGAGTGTTACCGTTACAAGGCCGACCCTAAACATAGGCCACTTTGGTAGCTGCCTAAGGCCCCAATATTTTAGCTCTCCAAATATCTTGAGTTGAAGGCCTTTTGTAATAGAGTAGTTTAAACTCGAATGACCCAATGAAATGACAAAACCTAGACCAAAAACTAAAACTAAGAGATTCCTATCGGGCTACCATTATATTACACAATATCCCATGTAGAAAGGAAGGCCCAACTACTATTTTATTATTTTTAGTAATCTCTCAGACAATCAGGCTGAGTCTCTTTCAATATGTCAAACATCTGATGAAAATAATGTGTCAGACACACATAAGCTCTCTCTCTCTCTCTTTCTCTCACATACACACACATGCGTATACAGTGCAAGTGATTGTTAATATGAAAAAGAAATAACTGGAGCACTAAAAAAAAAACATTATCAACAAGAAAAATATTCTTAAATAGAGATCATACTATTCCTTTAATCCAATATAGGTTTAAAATAGTAAAAATAGATACAATGTTTTTTACTCTTAATTTAGTTTTAGAAGATTAAATTCTTTATGTGATGAAAGTTTTGAAAAAAATATGGTCTTAACCTTGAATTTTACGTGACTTATTTTATAGTTTAATTTATTTTTAGGATTAAAAGTCCTAAGAAACTTCAAATGTAGAAACTATACATGGGATTACCGATATAACAATATATAAAATGACTAGATTCTTTTTCAAATGTCTCCATTACTTATTGAATACTGTAAATAATGTCATTAAGAGATTATTCTACTTGAAGAAAGTTTTTTGAATTATAAATTGATAACATTTTATCTACTGTCAATTATGTTATCAGAAAAAGTGAAGAGATTAGGTATAGTATTTATTGAAAATTGCATATTAGTAAAATATCAATCTAAAAGCCTCATTAATATTTTCGCACCTCAAAAGTAAACAAAATTTATTCAATGTTATTATTTAATATTATGTATATTACTCAAGTATATATATTAATGGGGTCTCCTTTACCATTTTCCCTAGGACCCCTGATAACATAAGGCCACCCCTGTACTGTTATACCCAATATTTATTTGAGAAGTAGAGATACAATTGGAATAGCCGCGGATCACATCATCCTTGCATTGGAAATTGCAACCCGGATGTCGGTCTGGGCTAGACTATAAGAACAAGAGAACTTGCAATATGTAATTCATGGTAATTTCTAATATAGTGATATTGGGACTAAGATTCCTCCACTAAAATTTTCTTTTATTTTCTTTTTTGATGGATCATCTATTGTAAAATCGGCAAGACCCATAATGCATAAATAAATCCCTCACTTATTAATAGTAAATAAATTATCAAGAAATAAAATAAAATAAAAATAGACAATCCATGATGTGGTCACTCACCAGTTGTGTGTATGCTTAAAAGGCTAGGTACTGCTTTATCGTGTTTTTTTGAAAGTACTTTTGTTAAACTTTTTTGTATTTTAAAAGACTTTCTTAAAATGGTATAGGTTTTCGCATTTTTACTTTTTTGTTTTTTCTTGTCTAAACTCACTCACTTCCTTTAATTATAATTACATGTATAATAATGTAATATACACATATATAAAATAGTATAATTCATATACTAAATACATCTAAATTGTTGTTGTAAAACGATGATTAAACATGTTTTTGC